ATGGACTAACATCCCATCCAGGAGGGAGTAGGAATACTCCTAGTCGTTTCATGCTACAGAAACTGGGATAAGCTCCGGCCTGATGGGCCACTTGGCTCGTATGCAGGCTTTACCTTTACCAAATGATGGTATCATACACTCAGCCAAATTTTGATCAATTATGATGAAGAAAGATATCTCAGCCAATTTGCATCAGAAATGTTTGATTCTTTGCAGTAAGACTCTACTAAATGTGCTTAACAATTTTGTTACAATGGCAACATACTGGGTTCCAGACCTCCCCAATATTAAAGGCTTTTCTGGCCATTTTGATATTTGCTAATGGTGTCTCGTATGCACGATCTAGCAAGCATATAAATATGTTAGCTCGAGTTCATGGCCTTGTTTAATGTTTTTCAAGCTGAAAATCACTAACATATTGAGATCAAGTAGGTGGGGACTGGAAAAAAGTGAGTTGCCATGGGAACATAATTTTTTACAGCTGTAGGTGTGGTTCCTGTAGAACTCTTAGCCTACCAAGTTTCAATGGATTCTGCTGCAAATTGACTGCGATAGCTCTAATATAATATTGGGCTGAGTGTATGTCGTCATTAGTCATCTCATTTGCATATTTTACACATTTTTCAAGTTAAATATCTCCAGAACTAATGCAGATATTTGAAAACAGTCAATGGCGTTTTTATTCTTTCATGGAATTCTATATGATACACCTAAAAAAGGGGTAAAAGGGGTAACAATTTGATCATAGTACCACTTTAAATAGCCTTTCTAAAAATAGTATTTGTATATTTACATGTTACATGTATATTTACATTGACTTTGTGAAATGTTTTGATCATTTTTATTAAATTTGTTTACAGAACTCAGCAGGATTCAAGTCTGGCCACAGATTAGAGGTACCTACAAGTGTAATGAAATTTTGCATGTTGGTACATTTGTACATTGTTAACNAGAAAGATATCTCAGCCAATTTGTATCAGAAATGTTTGATTCTTTGCAGTAAGACTCTACTAAATGTGCTTAACAATTTTGTTACAATGGTAACATACTGGGTTCCAGACCTCCCCAATATTAAAGGCTTTTCTGGCCATTTTGATATTTGCTAATGGTGTCTCATATGTACGATCTAGCAAGCATATAAATATGTTAGCTCAAGTTCATGGCCTAGTTTAATGTTTTTCAAGCTGAAAATCACTAACATATTGACATCAAGTGGGTGGGGACTGGAAAAAAGTGAGTTGCCATGGGAACATAATTTTTTATAGCTGTAGGTGTGGTTCCTGTAGAACTATTAGCCTACCAAGTTTCAATGGATTCTGCTGCAAATTGACTGCAATAGCTCCAATATAATATTGGGTTGAGTCTATGTCGTCATTAGTCATCTCATTTGCATATTTTACGCATTTTTCATGTTAAATATCTCCAGAACTAATCCAGATATTTGAGAACAGTAAATGGCGTTTTTCTTCTTTCATGGAATTCTATATGATACACCTAAAAAAGGGGTAAAAGGGGTAAAAATTTGATCATAGTACCACTTTAAATAGTCTTTCTAAAAATAGTATTTGTATATTTACATTTTACATGTATATTTACATTGTGAAGTGCTTTGATCATTTTTATTAAATTTGTTTACAGAACTCAGCAGGATTCAAGTCTGGCCACAGATTAGAGGTACCTACAAGTGTAATGAAATTTTGCATGTTGGTACATTTGTACATTGTTAACCTGTCTAACAACCTCTTTGGGGTTTGTTATGGCTATCAGGGTAAAAAGGACAGATAAAATACATGCTAGAAAATACATGTTCTGTACGTACACCTGTAACAGATACATCATGACATGAACATCCCCCTTTTTAACAACTGCATCGCAAAATGGAGGCTGGGTGCCTGTGATATCCAGGAGCNAGATTTATCCAGGCAACAACACATTTGTAAACTGATTGAACTACAGTTTACAGAACAGTTTACATTATACACATTTCTAGCAACTAAAACTATATAATTCATGTAAGCAAAGCCAGTGGAATGCGATTTTAAGTAGATTTTCAATGTGTTGCTTAGATTCTGTTTTCTTGTTTTCAGACGCAGCATACATTTAAAAAAGTTTATGATGAAAAGACATCCCAGAAAGTACTTTTTGATAATGTTGCACTGCCCTTGGTTGATGATCTAGTTCATGGAAAGAATGGTGAGTGCCAAGTTTTACAGTACAGTACTGTAGTATTCTTTACAGCTGCACCCATGTTACATCCATATTCTCATTGGACCAGGGCTAAAAAAACACTTGAATTCCAGCTTGCCCTTTTGACAAGCAGCACTAAAAGGTTACCTGCCCTGGGCAAGTTTATGTTTACTTTTTGGATCATGTGTACTAAAGGCATCTGTAGTCAAGTGTCAATCAATGTCCTTGATATATTTTTTTTCTCTTTCTACTTCTTTTCTTTATTTTTCCTACAACCGATTTAAAGCGTAATAATTCTTGTAACTACTCAGCGCGTTTAGTTTTTACTATTTCAAGTAGTTTTTTGGCTTATTTAAGTTTAAAGTATTCTTTTGCTGAATGATATTCTACGTATTATGCAAAATAAAATGGTTTTTGTTGTTGTTGTTGTTGTTATTGATCAACACTCTATTGACATCTCGGTTGACTCTTGTTCAAAATCCTGGTCGATAGTCGACTAATTTTCGATCGATACATGAGTCGGTCAACACTTGGCCAACTATTGACCAATAATTGTTTATCAAGTATTGATTAAGTGTCCACCGAATTTTGATTGGGATGTCTACCAAGTACTTACTGATCCAGATGTCGAGCAAGGGTATTGATCAAGGATATCAATCAACACTTGCTGATGCCTTTAGTACACATGATCCTACTTTTTTATTTAGTTGGCAGACAACAGCCTTGATGCTTGTCCTACATGGATAGTCAGAGATGCCATGTTGTACAATTCTTGTAAAAAAGTACATATATGTACAATACTTGACATTAGGTGTGTAGTGTTTAAGGCTGGTTTTCACTAGAGCATAAGCACAAGTACAAGCATAAGCATAAGCACAAGTGAAACCAGCTGTGACATAAACATAAGCAGAAACATAAGAACAAACCCACTTATTTGTCTTGTGCAGTTTTCACTAGTAATGCACTCAACAAAAGGCTAGCATAAGCATAAGCACAAGAAAAACAAACAGTTCTGTTTTTCTTGTGCTTATGCTTATGCTTATGTTGAGCACGTTAGTAGTGAAAACTGCACAAGACAAATAAGTGGGTTTGTTCTTCTTATGTTTCTGCTTGTGTTTATGTCGCGGCTGTTTTCACTTGTACTTATGCTTATGCTTGTGCTTGTGCTTATGCTCTAGTGAGAACTTAACAGTTGTATTATCATTATGGTTTTTACTCACAGGCTTGATATTTGCCTATGGTATCACTGGGTCTGGTAAGACACACACCATGACTGGGACACCCAGTGACAGTGGCTTGCTTCCAAGATGTTTAGATGTTATCTTCAACTCTATTGGAGAACTGCAATCTCCTAAATATGTAAGTTGCAAGTCTTCTACTGAATGTGTTCGATGTTAAAGTTGAGTCTTGAGAATGTTAAAGTTGATTATTTAGTGAACACTGTATGCAGTANATGTAAAAAAAAAAAAAAACAGTATTTGATAATGTCCTCTGACTTCTTTACAGACCGCCAGCTTCAAAGAATCTAAGAGAGGACATGAATCATAATATGTACGTTAGCGGCGTAACAGAAGTTGAAGTCAAAAGCACGGAAGAAGCTTACAGTATTTTCTGGAAAGGTGAACTTATTTAATATCCCTCGTTATCTGTAGTAGGCACATGTATGTAACATGCAGCAGGTGCAGTCAAAACTACATTGTACTGTGCTCAGACACGATCCACCCACCATATGAAAAACAAAACGTGGTCTATTTTTTACTCACCGTGGGACTTGCTAAAATACTCAATTGTATAGCCACCACGGATCATGTTACTGTAGGTTCTCTCGACCAATATATTGGTTGACAGTCACTTGACATATCAGTCAACAGTTGCTTGATATATTGGTCAAGATGTATGTCGGCTTTTAGTTCACTGATACCTCACCGACTTTTTGCCGATACTTCACGGATAATTCGCTGAGTATCAGTCAACACTTGGTCAATAGTCAGAAGATATAGACAGACAGTCAAGAGGCAGTTGATACTTGGCCGATGTAATCGGTCAACACTAGGTCAATAGTCTGATGATAGTCGGCCCATAGTCGATAGTCGATATATGATTTTCCACCATCACCGGATAGCATTAATGTCATCGCTTAAAGAGAAAGCATTTGGCCGCAATTGCTGAATTAACACAATTGACTGATATAGCAATACTCGACACATGACTGATATTCAACCGACAGTTGACCGATATATCACCCACAGGTCACTGATATACTGCTGATATATGACCAGTACTAATTGTTTGGTATCAGCTTGTGTATTGATCTTACAAAAACATCAAGTTGAGTATATCTGTTACAGAGTAATCACCAACGAAGTGCCAAATGTACTGGTATATTGTAAATGCCAGATGTATATTGTAAATGCCAAATGTATATTGTAAATGTTTTTTGTTGGATCTCACGTTTTAGGCCAAAAGAAAAGGCGTGTTGCCAACACTGTACTAAATCGAGAGTCAAGTCGAAGTCACAGTGTGTTTGCAATCAAACTAGTACAGGCTCCCTTAGATCCTGATGGTGAAGAGGTCTTACAGGTATTAATACTACAATAACTGTCAAACGAGCAGTAATGGCCACCTAGTAATAGCAGTCACCATTCCACAACATCAATTTTTTTTTGTCCCTTGGAACCAAGCACTCACTAGATATACTGATGAAACCTGTCTACAATGACCAGTTAATTGTGCCTTGCGACAGCCCTTTTAGGTTCCACTGTACACTGTAATTCATAATTTAGTGAACACTTTAGTGAACCCCTCTCTCATTTGAGACTTGTAATTGACTTACTCTTGCCATACATTTACATGTAAGTTCCACACTGCATCTGTTCCTCGAAACAACTTTTTCTTCTTGGATTAAAATGCACTGTTTTGTCCACATGGGAACATTTTTTAGACTGCATGTAGTTCTTCATTGTTTACTCTATTCTAAACATGTCACCTTACAAACCCCCTGTTTAAAGATACCCAAGGGTAGATCCTTGAAAAAAAAAAAAAACAAGTGCTTAATTAATCGACGGTTTATTTATCTTTTTTTGAACAGGATAGAAATCAAATTGCAGTGTGCACATTATCACTGTGTGATTTAGCAGGGTCTGAGAGAACAAACAGGACAAGAGCTGGTGGAGACAGACTACGAGAAGCTGGTAATTTATTACAGGTTGACACTGACATATCACACACTGGGATCTATTGAGTTAGAGCTGACAATCATTTACTGTGTACACATAACTACTGGTAGGCCACATTACATGCACATGTGGTCTCAAGGGTGAAAAGAATGTAGCCTGAAGACAAATATATATTTTTTACATGTATCCTGGGCTGTCATTAAGTTTTGAGTCACGTATGTAATATAGCCTTGATCTTCACATCCATAATAAACTTGTTACCACTTCAACTTGAGTGAATTGTATCAACTGTGCCCAAGTTCACCTGTAACATCAAGGGCCCATCAAATATGCTCAGCCGTAGCAGTTGTTATGGGTTATGACCCTTACAGACAGTCCAGTGTATCTTCATACATGTACAAGTTACATTTTATATCTTGTGACAACGATTTTATAATTACATGTACATGTAGCCCTATATCCTTCCAAATTAGATTGACAGAAAGATTGTCAATAGAAAAGCAAAGCAACTACTCAAAAAACATAATTAATGTATGAAATCTTGGAGTACATGTAGATGCTCAGTTTGTTTTTACATGTAAGTGCTTTGTCATATCAAAAAAGTTAAATCTTATTAATTATAAAATTTACGTTTTGCAAAAAAAGTTACTTTTGAGCTGAAATCAAGTGTTCGCATAAATGAAAATCAATGAATTCTGACAGAGTTCTTAGAGCTACTGTAGCTGATTG